AACGTGAAAAACTTTCGTTGGACGAATTTTCTTGTAAACTTCATATTTACTGAGATATCGCACTTTGACGCACTAATGAGCAACCCTGTATATCAACTAAAACAAGATCGCGCTTTCCGAGATGCAATGGATGGGCCAGACGCGACCAGGACAGAGCCGAAGTATATGCTGCCCATCTAACCGACGTGTTCACTTCAAATCCCATGACTAGACTCGACAACTGGTCAAATTAAATCCAAGACTTCCTTGCCTCTCCTCTGCCCATGTACAAACCCATCAAACACTTTACACCATCTGAGGTACGCTCTCAAATCAATATTCAAGCATCTTCCACGAAAAGCTTTGCTGCACATAACAACACTATTTAACTCCATAGTTCGCACAGCTTGTTTTCAACAGTGGACAGTGTCCCAGATAGTGATGATCCCTAAGCCTGGCAAACCACCACACATTTAAAATTTAAGAAGATGTCTCTCCCTTTTCAGCTATTTTTTATCCACTCCTGAGCATAGCCCTTCCGTCCACTGATTTCGTTATGGACCGCTGATGGATCTATAGTTTTCAATGTTTGTTGGGTCTCCCTTTTTGAACAGTAGTATGACTTCACCCTCACGCCAACTTTCTGGTATAATGCCTTCATGAAGACATTTGTTGTAAAGAATTTTGATATACTTTCTCAATAAGGTTCTGCCCAGTTTAATCATTTCGGTCGTTATTCTGTCATCACCAGGACATTTGCCGTTCTTTATTTTACTTAGTGCATTTCGTATTTCTTCCTTTGTGATATCCAGTATGTCTTCCGATCCAACATTCAATATTTTCCCCGTTCTATTTATTGGATGTTCAAGTGTGGACGAGTAGAGGGTAGCGTAGAATTCTTCTATGGTTTCTGCAATGTCATTTTTATTTGCTACAATTATGTTGTTTTTGTTCCTCACCTTCACTAATCGTGTTCTTCCCCTTGATAGTTTCGATCTTAATACCCTCGTGTTACCGTTTTGCTCAATGGTATCCTGTGTGAATTTGGTGTTGTTACTTCTGATGGCTTTGCGTATTTCCTTTCTACTGATCCGTGGGTCTCTGCAGATTTCTTCGTTGGTTCATAAGATTCAGAGTGTTAGCTGATAGTTTGTTGTTGGTATGTTTTCTCTTTGAGCATATTTTTTTTACGCTTGTATGGATGCTGGTTTTTATTTTCTCGGCGATCTATATTTAGATCGGTGACAGAATTTATAGACTGTAGTTTATTTTCTAGTTCTTTCTGATACTCATCTCTTGCAATTCGATTTCTTGTGTTGTAGGGAAGCGTGACGGTTTGACTAACTTATTTCTTTATGTCTGTAAGTTGAAGGCGAAATGGTCACGGACAAGACGGTGGTCGCTACCAGTGTGTATTTTGTTTATTACTAATACGTCTCTGCATGTTGTTCTTGCATTTGTTAGTATATAGTCTATTTCGTTTTTTGTGACGCCATCTGGACTCTTCCACGTCCATCTTCTTTGTTTTGGTTTCTGGAAGAAGGTATCGAGGCAATACAAGATACTCTCACTTGCTAGGAGTTGAGTAGAATTCCGCCTCTGTTGTTCCTTTCGCCCAGTCCACACTTGCCTATGTTTTCTGAGTCGCCTTAAACTTTTCTTCCTAATTTGGCATTGCAGTCGCCAGTAATAATGATAACTGTTGTCTTCTCCATTTTTAACGCTCTGGATTTGTCCTCATAGAGTTGTTCCACGTCTTGATCTTCCGATGTATTAGTTGGAGCGTATGCATGGATCACTTGCATGGAGTACCTGCTGTTGAGACTTACGGTAATGTATATAGCACGGTCAGACACTGTTTGGTAGCCTGTGATAAGATATTTTTTGGTTTTGTTGATCATAAGAGCTACTACTTCTAGATGATGGTTGATATCATTATTGTTTCGGAACAATATGTGGCCCGATTTTAATGTGTTCACTTTTTGTCCCGGCAAACGTGTCTCGCATAGGCCGACTAGGTGCCACTTGATATCCTTTAGTTCTTAAAAAGATGTACTGGCTGACAAATCGTAAATCACAACTGGGTAAGTCTATACAACCGAGTACTTTTATACAAACTCATCCTCAGGCCTATATGGACGTACGGCACTCAGCTGTGGGGTACTGCTAGTAAATCATACATCGAAATTCTACAAAAACACAAATTCCAGTCAAAAACACTATCATGCCTTGCGAGAGACTTAAAATATTTAAACCTCGAGATCTACCAGGCCGTTTCTCTTGGTGCCGAGATGCCCACCCGTATTTACTGGCTGTGATATAGTATCATCTCTTTCCATTTAACAGTTCTCAACGAGGGTTACATAAGAGATTTATAATGTTAAATCCAGTTTATGTTTTTCCTATGCCATTTTATTTTCAATATTATCAAATTTACTTACTGTTCTACAGACTGTAAATAGTGGTAAATTAAATAAAAAATAATTTGGCTCACAGTAGAACTTTCTCGACCTCAACTGTATTGTAAACATACTGAAACCACTGCGAGGAAAACAACTGTTGCAAAGCAAGGCGGCAACACTGCGCGGAATAGGAAAGCGGAGAATTGGCATTACTGATGAGCCACGTTTGTTTTTTTTCTGCAAGCTTATCAGCAAATCAGCTTTCAATATGGTTCGTGCTTAAGGTCCATTTTGGTTAGTAAAATTGCTTAATTTTACGTTCTCACATCATTTTACTAACAAGGAAATAAATTACAGAAAAAAAATGAAGTAAATGTGAAGGCAAAATGTTCGTTCAGAACATTTGCTCGGAATAATCGCGTCTTCTTCAAATTATTCCGCGTTTCAAGGGCTGAGTTTTTGTGGTCTGAGAAAATTAATAACGGAAAAGTTATTTTATATGGATTGAAGTACCTAAGATTGTACTCTAAGCACAGCTAGTTTTATGGTCAGGGACCATTTAGGCTCTGGCTTATTTCTTGAGACTGGCTTCGTTGAGAATCGAAATTAATCACCAAAATTCAGTTTATTCAACTTACTTTTAATTAATCACACACATAATGGCTAATAATTAATATAATTACAGCAATAATTTATCTTAACTCTATTCAGTCTTCTAGCTGGATTGGCTGGATAAATAAATAGTCCGGCCGCGTCTCTTCTGCAATTGCCTGTTATTCGATACTAATCGCTTGTGATCTTCGGTGTAAATGTGCACGAGTTTTGTGAGCTAAAATTACAATTCCAGAATAATTAAAATATATCAGTATGCGGGCAATTTGCTTTATGGTTCACACGTTTCAAGACCAAGATAACGAATCCGCAAAAATTGCCTGTTTTAAATCAAATAAAAAGCCAATTTAATCTAGCTCTTTAAATTCTTTATGGACTTGCCCAATAAAATAGTAAGCTTGCAGCACTTCTTACATATAAATTGACTGGAAATACAGGTGCAGACACAGAAGTGTTTTACTCCTTACTTGTAGTGTGGAATCAATGAAACTTACATCATCAGTTGATATAATCCCATTAGAATTGAATACAATCCAGTTGATATTTTCGTTGCATTTTGGAGTGGTCAACGATCCAGTATACTGGAAAAATGTGTCGGTTTCGTCAGGAAAAAAGTCAGCCAATGTTATGTTCCCTTTAGTGTTGGTAGTTCCAGGATATGTCACCGCTTCCACTGCATCGTCCAGCACATCGAAACTATTGTCGATATCTTCTTCGACTTCCTTTTAGAAAAAATTCAGATATACTTTGCAAAGCCACTTCAAAGTTAACGGTAGTTTTAGCTTTTTTCTGGAACAGCAAGCATTGGAAATGGCAATGGATGAAAGGACGGTTTTCGCTAACGAGAAAATTGTACAACATATTTTAAGTAAATGAAGACATGAAGATAAAATCTCGACCAAAATCCTTGAGAAAAAAATTATAGTTTCGATGTCAGGCGATTGCTAACGATCCCTGTATAAATCTTCTGTTTCTTTCAAGTTAGCACTATTTCGGTATTAGGTTTTAGAACAATAAATACTGCTAATAAGATTTCTTTAAAAATTTGCATAGGGAACCCAAGCCACTGGAATCGGATAATTTACCGATAAAATATTTAAATTTTATCTTTTCTCATGATTAGCTGAAGAACGATTTGACCAATTTTTTACCTGCAATAGTTGTCGAATATTAACAGAGTGTGCGAAGATCATTTGGAAAAATTCCGTTTGGCTTGGATTTTTACAGTTCTGAGAATTGTTGGTTCACATTCCCTTGTCATTTTCCATATCGAGCCGGAAGAAGGTGTAAAATCCGGATATATACAAGCTGGTTCAAGGATATGGGGTTAGACTTTTAGCGAGTGTTCAATGGAAGACGTTTCAGTATAAGAACCCACAGCCGGAAATGTGATGTATTATTAATTATCAAACCTACAGCCGAACCTGACTAGAAATTTCAAGTTGAGCCATTTCAGAACTAGACACTTGAAATTTCGTCCAGTTCTTACCACGGAAGGGCGCTCCAGATGTCCCAAATTCCGAACCAGATGCGCGGCAGAATGATTTTTCGTCAATTAACAAATCTACAGTTGAGCCTGACTAGAACTTTCAACTTGAGTCATTTTCAAAAAATCGTCACGCCCAAGCTAGACTGACTAGATACTTGGAATTTTGTCCAGTTTTAACCATAATCAGTGGCTATAAATGGGGCAAATTTCGATCTAAACGGACAGCAGGCTAATTTTCCAACAAAAGACAAACGTTCAGTTGGGCCTGATCAAAATTTCTTGCTGAGCCATTTCCAAACATTTCTTAAGTCCAATTTGGAACTATATTTATTGCACGCACTTTATTCTGCATGACTGGTGAGGGAAAATTAGTATCAGGGTGTAGACTGGTTTTTCAAAAATTCCCTAACTCTCAGCTGAGATTCGTTTAAAGCTTGCAAGTCGACACACGTTCAAAAATTCATCCCTCTTATAGCAGAGCCGCCAGACTTGTGCAGTTATGAGCAAATGATTTGCTGTATAAACCGAGTAACTTTCGCCATTCAGGCTGATTTTTCAGACAGTCAGAAACTTCGAAATCGATGAATGTGAGTGAAAATCCCATCCACTTGTGTCCCCTGCCTAAAGGCTTAATCTTGTCTCAGTAGAAAGATTTCGAAAAATACTTTGCTGGTTTATTTTTCAATCATTTTATTACTTCATGTGTATTTTAGTGATTTTCAGTCATTGTGAACAAACGAATCCAAATAAAATTAACTAGAACACCATTAAACAGGATTTTGTAGAAAAAAAATCTTAATTATAATGCTCTGAACACTTCAGAACTTTGATCCCATAATTCTCTAACACCCCATATAAAAGGAGGACCCGAATTAATGAAGGTGAATAAATTATAAATTCAAGTGGGATTTAATATTGGCGTCATTCGTGTGCGAATATGAGGGCCGTTCTATAGAGGGAAAAAAATGAGTTTCTAAAGCGCGTCTTAAAATTTACCTTACTTCAAAAAATGAAAGAGTAATTGACACATGGCCCTGGTAGAAAGTACTCCTTTCTCCTATCGGTGGCCAGACTTAAACTGATATACCGAAATACCTTCTCTATTACCAGTTGATATCGAATGTTGTTTTTATACAAAGAAAACTAGCAATGTGTGTTCCTTTCGCTGTCTCTGACTTAACAATAAGAAGACTCAGAAGAATTCATACCGATGAGCTTTTTACAGCTCATTTGCTGCCTTAAACAGGAAAAATGTGATCCTCACGAGAGTAATCAAAGCTTATTTTCCTATAATTCAAACCAAAACTAAGCAAAAATTGCTTTAAATTAAAAGTGTTCGAAAGTTCCAACTGTTCATGTATCCGGAAACTATTTTCAGTTGCAGTTGAAACGGTTTTTCGAGGAAATTCTAAAAAAAAGAGTTTCTGCTTCCTTTAGCCACTACTAAATAGGCGAAAATTAAATAAGTGGATTCAAAACCAGGTGATGATCTTTAAGGACTGCAATGAATTTGCAGAGCATTTTTTCTTGCAAACAAAATTCACCTTAAAAGTAGCATCACTGATCTATTAAAAAGTGTTGTGTTTTTGCCGATTTGAGCAGCCAAAAATACAGCTTTTCGTCTTGGTTATTAATTCGTTAAAAAATTGAAAACCACTTTGGTGCATATCGAAAAACCATTAAAATAAAAACCGGGTTAGATTTGCTCGTTACACAGCAGCTATTACTTATAGGTCATTTGTACAATAGAATTAATGAATGACAATAACATTTTAATAGTCATTTAAAAGGGTCCTTGGGGATAAAGAGACACAGGCAAGGCCTATTTTTTATTTTTGACTGTATTTTGAGACTAAGACTAGATGAAAAAACATGCTGATATGAACCTGTTTGAGGTTGGTTCAGGGATACGCGACTAATTCGGATTTCGTTTCATTCAACACATCATGGCTCTTCCTTCATCTTATTCATAAAACAACTATAGCAGCACAAACCTTTGTGTTTGTTGTCCAAGAAAATTCTTTATTTGACATTGTTATACATACGAAGTTTTATCGAACACCTTAATTCCGGGCATTTTACTGGGCATTGAAACTAATTATTAAAAATTATACAAGCTTTGCCGGCATCAAGTCTAGAACGTTGCCTTCGTAAAAAAATAATCGAAAAAAGAAATGGAGTTGGACAATCGAAAATTAGGAACCAATAAACAGAACACATGGATTTCCATAGAAAATGGCCCTTAAATAAATATTTCGCGAAAACTTTAAATTTTTTCTACGGCTAGAAACTGTGCATTCGTTTTCCACATTTGCTACAAAAAGGTGCAGAATTCTAGATTTAGTGAAAATAATTGTAACAATTCGTTGGGTGTTCGACTAAAGGAGTGGACAAAATTGTTCGGCTTCCCATGTAAAAATGGACTGGAAATTGGCACCGATAAAAGGCGCAAGTAAATTGACTTTGCAACTGAAAGTGCAAACAATAATGTGTTTAAAAATTAAACAATAAATTCCCAGAACTCAATAAATCTTCACTGATTGACTTCAACCCATGCAAATAAATTTCTGTCCAAACAAAGAAAAAATTTGTGGCAAAGTTTTCGGCTTAACAAGCAGTGGAAAATTGGCACAAAACTGCTAAATAATTGTCAATATTTTGTAAATTATTGTCTCGAAAATATTGATGTTTCAACAGTTTATTACAAATAAACCGTGTAGGCTCTTTGCTGCCGGAAAAGTGGCGATTGTTTCCACTAATAATTACAAAAATTATCCATTTTAGTGCCAGGATTTCAAAGCGCTGTTTTAAGGCTTTTAAGGCACTTTAAGGGCGCAATCTTTCCCATCTTTCTTAACAATCATCAATCTTAACCCTTTTAGTATCAAGTTAACGGAAGTAATGACCGAAATTTACATAAGGTTTTGTTGCGTCGCCTTCAGCTTCTGCCAACCCAAAAAATCAGTTAACTTTTTTTCAAAATTGGCAATTTGAAGAAATTGGACACTTGTTTTTTCTATTATTAGCCCAATTTAAAATCCGAAAAAATCTGTTAAAGTCTTGACTTACCTCAAATAGCACTCCAACAACAGTAACAGCATGTGGAACCTCTAAAGCTTCTGATAAGTTTGCGTATTCTTGACTGTAGAACACGAAATGAGCCTCAAGATCAGCGCTGGAAGAACTGCTTAAAGCATCCTCTGATCAGCGGGTTTAAAAAAAACTTACTATTCTCCATTTATTATGTGCTCTGAAGGCCAGTGAAAATGAACATTATTCAACGTGAAGTTTCCAGGTAATCCAGCACCAGACAGCGTGGGTGCATCGGTCACTGACGAAAACATTAATTCAACTGTAACAAAACTGTTTCTGAATGGTTTTAGCGGTGAATAAATAAAATCGAGTTAAACTGGAGCAAAGTGCAAAAATTCGCCATTTTCAGCGAGAAACCGAACAGAGCTAGTAAGAAAAAAAACACCAAAAGAAAGGTTCAAAGCCGTAACACCCAAAGTATGAATATAGAAAAGACGCAAACTGGCAGGAATAAACGAAACTGAAAAGTGGAATAAACATTATGTTCCAGAAAAGTTTAGGTGCAAGAAATACTTTTTATCAGCAAAGAAATAGAGGATACTCATTCACTTTTACCTGTATGGCCATTGTTTTCCACCTCGAGGTCCTCAAAGTAGTTACTGATATGTTCAATATATAACGGAGATACAGTGGCTTTCGTTGCATTATACTCATTTAATATGATGGGAGATTGTCGGGTGCCATTCTGGCACAATCCTGGCCATGCAGCTGAAAATTACCATCTTTAGTGTACATTTTTAGTGATTTTAATGTTAACCCAATTGTCCTACCTTGATTATCATAGCTCCAATGAGACTCAGATTCGCTCTCTTTGGCTTCTGTTACTCTAAGCACAGCTGAAACATTCGAAACATATTAATTAAAATCTAGACACTGGGCAAATTCAATTAAATAAATTATAAAAAAAATTATCACGGTTTTACGTGTCCAAGATAAGGCTGAACTGGATGAAATCTTGTATGATAGTGTGCTTGATTAAGGGGTAGCGATTAAGTGGGCTCAAATAAGTGCTTAATAATTCCATTTAACTACTTGCAAAAACATTTTATTGTATTAAATTATGAAATATGTGAATTTTTCTTAAGGAGAAGAGGAAAATTTTCATTTGGGAGCTCTTCGATTTTTGCTAGTTTCCTCAACTAATATTTAACGTAATTTTTTCAAATAGAGGATTTATTGTTTAGTGCTCAATGGCATTTTCAGTGGTTGCAAAATTATATTTGACTGTTTCTTTGTCTTTTTCATCACTGCCCAAGAGTGTAGTTTCAACATGCTTTTAGAAACTCACCTTTATTCTGCCCTAATTTTACAATCGTCCTGTTTGAAACGTTTTTTCATCAGTTTTTTAAATATATTTTCCAAGTTTATGAATTATGACGATTTGAACGACTTTACACCGGTTGGGACACAATCCACCATTGAATTTTTAAATGTTATGAGATGCACAATTGTTTATTTATTTTATTGCTTTTGTTAAGAAAGTCACTGATTAAAGCGCAATTTCTAGCTGATAATGCAAGCAGAATTGCACCCAAATCGCTAATTTGCCTGGGATTTGGTTTATATGCGGTAGTCATAGAGGCAGAATGTTTTCATGCAAATATAAATCTGTTTTTAGCAGTTTTCTCAGTTGGAACATTTTTATTTGGACTCTGTTGGGTTTTTTTCGATCTTTTAGTTGCTACTGGTTTTCGTCTGCCAATTTAATATAAAAATGTTTTTCCAATCGGATTTCTACGCGAACGATGACATTGTACATTTTATTGCCAATCGTGATTTGTTTCCTTCTGCGCCTTAAACGGTTCTGAATCTTGCTTCTTTGCATCTTAAATCAAGATTTACCTTTGAGTCTTAGGAAAGCTTTGAAGGTTTGCGATTGAAAATATCGAAGAAAAAATCAACGTATCTTACAGCCTTCTAAAAAAACAATTCGCAAACCAAAATTTCTTCCTTCCTGTTCACTATTTGCAGGTTTTTCATAGGATCCAAAATTTCTTGAAACAAATGTTGAAAATTGAAGTTTAACGGGAGCAGAAAGTGTGGTGTGTTTCAGTTGATGCTCAGTTTTCATCTGTATATTTGACGGTTTCTTCGCCATTTTCAGCACTATCCAAAGCTGTAGTTTCAACTTGCTTTGTGATAATTTCATCTTTCGTCTTTATTTTTCAATCGTCGTTATGAAAGTTTTGTTGTCATTTGAGAATTTTATTTCTCGTGATCTTTATGGCCGTTTTTACATGGTGTTTACTAGCTTTCACTGGTTCCATTCTGCTATAGAATGATGCCTTTTAGGGCACCGTTTTTCAAGACATTTTTCCTAGTTTATGAATTATGATGATTTGAGCGACTTTACAAGGACTGGGAAACAATTTACCATTGAATTTTTATGTTTTACGATATCGCATAACAGTTTATATATTTGATCGCTTTTGTTAGAAAAGTCACTGATTTAAGCGCAGTTTGTAGCTAATAATTCAAGCAGAATTGCACCCAAATCGCTAATTCGCCTGGGGTTTTGTGCATAGGTGGCAGTCATAGAGGCGGAATGTTTTTTGCAAATGTAGTTCAATTACTGTCAGTTTTTTTAGTTGGGACATTTTTATTTGCACTATATTGGTTTTTTTCCGTTCTTTTAGTCTCAACTTTCATATGAAAATATTTTTCAAGTAGATTTTCTACGCGGAAGCTGAAAGTGCGAGGTTAATTGCCAATCGTGATTTGTTTCTTTCTGCGTCTTAAATTGTTCTTAATCTTTCTTCTTTGTATCTTAAATCAAGATTCACTTTTGCGCCTTCGGGAAGCTTTGAACGTTTGCGATTAAAAATCGCAACGAAAGACTCAACGTATCTTAAGGCCTTCTAGAAGAACGTTTCAATTAACAAACGAAAATGACAAATGTCTTCATTCTTGTTCAGTATTTGCAGGTTTTTAAGATGATCCAAAATTCTTGGAAAATAATTGTTGAAAATTGAAGTGCAGAGGGAGCAGAAAGTTTAATGTGTTTTAGTAGACGCTCAATTTTCTCTTTTATATTTGACGGTTTCTTCGTCATCTTCATCACTATCCAAAATTGTGGATTCAACTTGCTTTTAGAAAGTTTCATCTCTTTTTGTCTTTATTTTTCAATCGTCTTCTTATGGAAGTTTTATGCTCATCTGAGAAGCTTATTTCTCGTGACTTTTTGTGGCGTGTCCGTTTTCATCACCTTTAACTGGCTTAAGTGCAACTTCTAGTTGATAACTCAAACAGAATTGCACCCAAATCGCTAATTCTTCTGTTGTTTATTTTTTAATTTTTTCTCTGCTACTGGTTTTCCTCTACTGTTGTTTTTTCGACTGATTGGTTAGACGTTTAGAAATAAAAATGTTTTTCCGACTAGTTTTCCAGACGCAACTGTCGTTTTTCAGTTTTTAAATTTCATTATCTTCAGTAATTGGTTTCTTCTTCATCTTAAATTGTTTTTTTTTGCATGTTTGCATTTCTAATCTACACTTTTGAAATTTGGGAAGTTTAGAAGCTTTACAGTTGAAAACAACGACGAAAATCACGAAGCACTTTCAGCGAAATACTTCAATTTGCAGGGGAAAACGGAAAACAGCTTCGTGCTTGTTACAGATGGAGGATTTGGAAGTCTTTCAAACATTCAACTAGTTTGCAAAAAAATGTTGAACAGGAAGTGTAAATGTTGAAAATGAAGAGCAGACGGTAACAACAAAGAGCGGCCCAGAGTACAAATAAATTAATTTAAATGACTTCGAAAAAATAGGCCAAAGCAAAAAGTAAAAACTTCTCTAAAGAGAACAACTAGAAACTCCAAAGTTGGAAAACTTTTAGTTTATTCAATGTCTACATTTCTTTAAATTTTGGAAAGTAAGAAAGCACTTACCTATTACAACAGCTGTTATAACTAGAACCACTATGGCACCAATAGATAGTCCTAAAATAAAACTCTTGTTCCGAAAGAAACTGTCTTTTGACAATGAGAATTTGCCGGCTTTTTCCAACATGTTTTCTTAAAATCTCTTCTGTTTCAGCTCAAAATTCGGAAATCGCTTCTCTCATTGCATGCGAAGAAATCGGTTTTGAAGCGACACTGCAGGATAGAACGATTTGAAAACTTTTGAAGTGTTTTCGATCCACTTCATGGGAGAAACTTGAAAAGCGAATTTACAAATATTACTACTATGTGAAAATCGATGCGCTGCTTTTAATATTGAGACCCGACTGTTTATTTGACTATTACATTGATCTGTTTTATGGTGATGATAAGAAATTAAAATATTACTTTATGACCTCTCTGATTGGCACGAATTAATTAAGAACGGTTTTATCAGCAATTTGAATTATAGACGCTGCTGGGTTGAGGGTGGTTAAGCCTTTTATGCCTATTAAAATGAAAAGCACATTCAGCACAAATACATTATACCATTCAAAAACACAAACAGACAAACATATATGAAAACGATTGGCTTAGATCGTGATGTTGAAACAGGGATTTGAACGCCTCGTGTTAAACGATCACAAGATTTATGAATAATCCATCTATAGAACATCATATTTTCGGTGTTGAACAATAAGCCGGTGTCGTCGATCGGTAATGGTAAAAGTTAAAAGAAAAAACAGTGAAACGCCGAGATTTTTAATCCAGCCTAAATAAGTATTTTACCACGAGACAAATCAGTCATTTTAATAATCTAGGATTTAGATAGCTTGCAAATAGGACTAATGCCGGGACTTACGCCTTGTCTTCAAGTGACTCTCGAGTGGCTTGATATTAGACTAATTAAGCAGAAAATTGCAAATATGTGTTATTTTTTGCATTTCAACATTTAAACCAACATCGTTTTGCTATGGCAAGTGGGTATGATAATCATTATCGCTTGTAAATATTTGATATGATAAATGTGGATATGTGACGACTAAATGCCTGAATGTACTTTTCACATTGCTTCAAGCTATTCTTTTATTAATTCAGGTAGGTAGCTGGGTTTTTGAGTCTAGTTCTTTGAAGATAATTTCAATATAAACTTTTTTAACTTACTTAAACTAACTTTGAGTCTAATCATATAAAAAAAGATTCAAACCGTTGAGTTATTCGAGCTTTTAGGCGCTCGTGGTAAGGAATTTTCCTTTGACTTTCAAACGAAACACTTTTGAGGATACAAATAACCTGCGCTAGCGAAACGCCCGTAGAAAAGCATTTCCGTCATGGCCCAAATTCTCGAAAAGCTCAACAGTTTCAAGTAATTTCCGCCGAAGAATTCCGAAAGAGGTTTGTTATCTGAAAAATCATCATAATGTAATAAAATCGTTCAAAAAACCAGATGATGTTCAGACAAATAGCAAAAAATAAAAATCCTGCATTTAAAAACATTTAGTTGTAGATGTATTGATAAATACAGAATTTATTGTTGTTGCAGTTGTGCATGGTTTTACGTTAATATCGAGGCAAAGTTCACCATTTTAATACGATCGTATTATAACCGGCTTAAAAAATTTGCTGTCGAAAACGCCTATAAAATTTTCCACTTCTGGATGAAGCAAACTGTAAAATTAGTAGTATTTTTCCAGAAAAAAATAGTAGTAATTGAGCAGCCGTAAATTTAGGAATTGAAAAATTACAAGCAAAAAACAAAACGTTTTAAAATGTGAGTAAAGAATTATTAAAATGCGTAGTCACAATAACTTGCAAAATCCGTAATATTCATTTATCCACTAAATCTTATTTATTATCCAGTGAGACGTGCAACACGCCAACTTTCATCTTAAAAAAATCTAATGTTTTTATTGAGTTTACTCTCAGATTATACCCTTTTCATGTCAAAGAACTGTAATAAAGTACTATACATAAAAATCGAAGATAGTTCGCCAGCCAGCAAATTGAATGAAAAATTTGCAGCAATAAAACTGACGGATAAATAAATCCATGTACCGAGCGATTACGGAGTGAGTATACGATTAGCCAATAAAAAATCAAATTCGCTAATCCGTTTAAACCCAATATAATTTATGACGAGGTGTAAGCAGCTTTATTGAGATTCCGATTGTACGCCTTAGGATCCTGGCGCTAAACTCGCCAATTTCGATTTTAGAGTCTAAGAGTACGTGACCTAATAATGCCTAATAATAATTTTTTTAGAAAGTATGTTTCTCTATTGCTGCAATTTGTTATCTAGAGTAACTGTTTCCGATTTCCTTTTTGTTTCTTCATCGGAACTTGTAATACGCACTTTTCCCCGGTTTATTGGCCAATTATTGAAAGTCATCTGATTGGTCGTCATAAACTTTACGCTTGAATATTGTTCTCACAATAAATTGAGGCGATATCAGTATAATTAACATGAATTTCAATATTTTAGTTGATACTAAGTTGAACACAGATTATCAACTTTCATAAACCCTTCATAAACTGTAAACTTACACCCGTCCGGTCTAAAGTTTAAACCTAAAGCAGCTGCTTCAAGAGAAATCGGACGGTTGATAAAATAATTAAAATTTGCAAACAGTAGATTTTCCGTACCCAAGAGACTTTAAATCCAATCTCTGCTCTCTGGACTTTAAATCGCGATTTTAAATTAAAAATTAAGAATTAACAGTAAAAACTTGTAACTTTACACCTTACAAAACTTGGTTGCGGTAGACTTTAAACCGCGACTTGAATTCAAGCCAGTTTTATTCCGCAAAATCGACACTTCAGTCCAAAACTATTGATATTGCAAATTGATAAGCATGCACATTTTTATGAGTTTTTAGCCGGCGCTCTTCCTTCAGAGCGCAGATTTCCTAAGTATCCAAATGGCTCTATAAAATCCGATGTTTTCCCTCAACTCTAACAGTTCGGGAAATGCATTGAATCCCTTTCTTTGGGTGCCGGAAAATGTTGAAATCGTTTCAATTTCAATTGCAAATCTATAATTTTTCATAATTTTAGACTTATCAAAAACGGAAACAGGATGTCATCATTCAACTAGAGACAGCAAAGGGATTTTTGTTCGTTTTTGTCGGCAAATGTGAGTAAGATTGAGCTAAAAAAAATTTGTATTTCAGGGCAATGTAAAAAAAAATTTTTGGGCTACCCAGTAAATTGTGCGTTTTTTAATTTTCCGGGAAATTCTAGCCTGACTTGATGTGTCGCACTTGCCATTCAACTGTAACAGTTTGGCATCCAAAAAAGATTTTCTCAGAACATCTGATGGTCGCCCGAGCGCAGCTGGAGTAGGCACGCTGGAAGTGTCAAGTGTGGCACATCAAGTCACGCTGAAATTGACCGGCTAGTCCAATTTTGAACCAGTTTCGGGCCTATCAACTCATCATCAGGATATTCGCTAGAAAAACTTCAATATTGCATAACTTGTACGATTTTTCGATCGCATTGGATTCTACGCTTTACTCGCTAACCTGGTGACCTTCAATAATTGGATCACTTTATTTGGCCAATAAATCGGGAAAAAGTACGTTGTGTATTAAATAAATTAAAATTTCCACCACTCACGTAATTTGCGAAATGAAATGATCCCGATTCGACAACGAATGCACCCACTGACTTAGCAAACCGAAACTCGAAACCCGGAAAAAATATTTAAAACCGGAAGAGCGTGCATCTACTGCAAGATGCCGATGCTCAACTGAATGCACTGCCACACCAATAAAAGTTCCAGGTGCCCCAGACAAATTTAGCCTTGGTCCTCTTCTCTAGTCAGCTAAAATGTTACCAATGTGTAACAATTCTATTCATTGTAAGAAGGCAAAATTATTGACTACCTGTGATCTTGCAAAAGACAAGAACATGGAATATCGTTCTGTAGGGTCGGATTCCAAGAAGGCTTATGAGCATCATGGAAGCTACTAAACGCCTTTTTAATTCAAACTGATGGTTAATTTATAGTTATGGTTTTTGTAGTTTACGACTATAAGCTTGCTTGGACTTCGTGCGGCATCGGAGAATTCAAGTGCCGACTGTAATCAATTCTAGATGAGGAAGGAATTAGGGATGACACGAAATACTTGTCACAGGTATTTTGGAACAGATTTATGGAACAGTCGGTACCTGTTATCGATATTTAAAATAACATGTGATTTGAAATAACAGGGCTCGCCTACGATGCTGGTCAGTACCAGTATGACATCTGGGATTTCGATATTCAAACAAAGCAAAAAGGCAAATACCTGCTTTTGTGCCTTTTGATTCCCCGCGGCGTTGTCAATTGGCCTGAGTTTTAGTGAAAGTAGATATTTTATTCTCATGAAGTGGTAAGGTTTTGTATGTATGGGAGTGGGACGAGGGATCTGATTATTTTCGAATCTATGCACCAATGATTCGGCAAATAGCAATATTCAGTGAACAGAAAATATCGGGAACAGCAGTAACAGCCGTCTCCGATATTTTCTTTAATGTGACCAGACCTGTAAGTCACAGGCTGTGACTGGCGTGAATTCTGAACTGTTCCTTGTCCTTCGAACTGGATCTTTGTCGACCAATAGCAATGCTTCTGAAATAAAATACATTTCGTTGCATCTGCCCAGTGGAGTAGTAGACGAACTACATTTAAATTTGTATAGGCGCTATTTACGTAGGCTGGACATATTTCAATATTTATTTATATCAAACATAGCTGAAGTCTTAAATGGCCAATTTTCAATTAAGCGATAAGATGAATTGTAATCAGTGATTAGCATGAAAATAGAATATTTTTCACATTTTACTGCCCTTAAGTGGGAAAGATAAAAATGTGGTCACCTTTTTTTTGTGTTCAAATAAAGATTCGATAAAATGGTAAAACGTTACTCATAAAAATATGACTTTTTTTTGCCATCAGCCCTTGCATACAAAAAGGAACAAAAGGCATTTGGTCTTCGGTCATAATTTATCGCTGACCCAGCAAATTCGCACCCAAATTATTAGGTAGTAGCGTGGATATCCTTCAATGGAACAATTAGTACAGTCGGATTAGTGAGGCATTCTGGAAAAAAATTATTTTTTTCAATAAATCTACCCCCACCCTTAGAAAAATTTCCGCCAAAAATAAAAATTTCACATGTGTGTTTGTTGAGCTCAATCGACTCTTTTCGACGTGAGAAGGTCAGAAATATAAATTTTTTAAGTGTTTGGGTCAATAATAAACAAAAAACCGTCGGCTTAAAATCGTGAACTTTCAAAAAACGCTTAATTTAAGGCATTAACAATGATGCAAAATTTAAGGCATTTTGAGAAAGTATTAATTTTTTTTCGAATAATCTTTTCACTTCATATTGTTA